GGAGTTTAGTTAGTGTACATGTGAAATTGGACAAGGAATAAATCATTTTGTATGTTTTTTGTAAAAGCACGGAATGGATTTTGTCTTTTTCAAAAAAAAAAAAAAAAAATCTGGTAATTTTGTTTTACTTTAAGGTAGAAAACAGAAATGACGTCATTTTATGTACTTTTTAAAGACACCCTAAGTTAAGATTTTTTTTAAATATTTACTGTAAATGTAGTAAAAGTGGTTTTCCAGTTGAGTTGGTGGACCGTCAGTGTCAGTGACTATCAGGACTATGGCAGACCTGTCAAACTGGCTTTGTTTGCTCTTAAGTTCAGGTTTTAGTACGTCTGAATTTTGTGTTGTAGTATTCAAAACTTTAAAAATCAAATCAAACAAATAGACTTTAAATGTTCCACAAGAAGAATGAATGTACAGGAATCTGTCCAGTATGGATTTTAAAAACTCATCTTTTAGCAAACTTCTTAATTTTCCTCACTCTGGAATTGTTTTCTCAGCCTCTTAACTCTTCGTGGGCCAACTTCTCTGCAAAGAGAACCAGACACAGACAGAAGGGACAAGGTTTCAGTCATGTCTTCAAAAGATTTGAGGCTAAAACTGCATTAATGTAAATATGAGAAAAACAGTCAAATTCATTCAGTCAACCTTTATTTATACAGGTTAGTCCCATTGAGCCTCGGGGACTCATTGACAAGAGACCTGACAAATAAATTCAATAACCAATCTGGGTCCAGATCCAGACTGTAGTCTGCCATTTGCAGACACCTTGGTTTGAGTCTTGGAACGTCATAAGAGATAAAACAATGTTTTCAAAAACACTTCAATCTGATAGTTTGGGCATGTTTTGCTGTTTGACGTGTGGAAGGAGATGATAAATAGGAACCTAATTCAGTAATTTCATAGTGTTTGTAAGAAGTTTGTCTCTTTTGTATCCAGCAGACAACAGATGCTTTTTTTTTAATTTTGACCCACAATTTTTCACCTCACTTCCAGAGAGAAGTAAAAAAAAAAGCTTTTCTTTTCTATTTTATCTTTTTTTTTCTTTTAGGCAAGTTCTGGATCTGTTTGACACAGGCGTGAGCACTCCCATAATCAGCCAGAGTGTGCATCCTTCTGAATAGAGATGAAAGAAGAGAACACACACTTTTATACACACGTATGCACACTCGAGGCAACAACAAGGCACGCACAAATAAACAGGCACAAACACACTGGGAAGAAGCACAAGCCATTTGGCACAGCCTCTCTATCTAGGGAGGGCTTCAAAGCCCACTGACATGAATTTATGATAACGGCACTATGCCTTTGCCAAACCTCAACCGTTGTTGTTTTTTCCCACTCCCATCCCATCTTTCTGTATGCTCTGCCATCCCCTTGATCAGAGCTTTGGAAAATGCAAGCAGGTGTCCCTCAGTCCCCCTTGCAAGGCTGTGTGCTTGAGTGCATGTGTGCACGTGTTTTAGGTGTGCTAAGAATGGGGCTTCCTTTGCTTCTTTTTCCCTATTTTAAAAGTTATTTTGGTTTTACACTACTTCTATAACTCAAGCTCTGTCTCCAGTTCACTTCAGTGTTTCAATAGCCAAGATTAATTGTCTTCTCACTCTGTGGTTTTACTCTGTTTTAGGTACACCACTGTTATTAATATGACTTTCCCCTCCATCCATCCTTTCCCTTTTGTTTCTGTCTGCAGATGAGGATTGTGTGAATTGTACAGAGGAGTGCAGAGTACTGGGCCATTCTGACCGCTGCTGGATGCCTCAGTTCCCTGCTGGTGGAAATCAGGCGGAGGGCATAGACTACCGCAACAATATGTTTGTTCCGGCCGGGATGGAGACGGTACCTGAGACAGAGACTTACGAGACCGTCAATCCCAATGGCAAGAAAACATTCTGTACTTTTGGCAAAGAGAGGCGTGATCACACTATCCTGGTTGCCAATGTCAAGCCCTACTTGAAAGCAAAACGTGCCCTCAGTCCACTGCTCCAGGAGGTGCCCTCAGCCTCGACCAGTCCTACCAAGGGCTGCTCCACAATCCCTCCCTGCTCTTCGGTCAAAGGTCCGGCAGACGGGGCTGAAGGCAAACCTCCTCTAGCCAGCTGCTCCGGCCACTACGGGCCTCCCGATGGTCAGTATCTGTCACCTACCAAACAAAGCAGAGACCAAGGGGTCTACCCACCTTTGCCTCCCTCAGACCCAGTGGCCAAGGTGCTCGCAGAGGCCCGGTCCAGGATCAGTCAAGAGGCAGCAGGTGAAATGGAGCGTGTTCTGGAGCAGGTGGAGCCTGATTCAAGCCGCGACGCAATGGACGCTGACCAGGTGGTGAGGGACATCGACAAACTATTGCAGGATTGCAGAGAAAGTGAGACCACTGGTGTGCTCAGAAAGTGACACGAGTGACCTAATCAGGAGGAAATAAAGAGAGCAGTGTTTTTTTTTTGGATTTTCTGGGAACTCTCATGCCAAAACTGTCACCAAAACAAGTTTTAAATGTTAACTTGCTTCTATTATAGGGGCTGTTTTCACTGTATTTGTTGTAGAAGAGTACCAACACTGGACAAACGTTTAATATGTCAGTCATGCAGTACCAGCTTTGGTGCTGGATCAACTACCAACATAAAGGAACTGACTTGTGACTTTTTCTGAATTTATAGACTTTTTATTAAGCAAACTGCAGGGGTCTCTGCCTCTGGCACCTCGCAAGCTCTTATCTAAGTGCCCACCAGCTCATATGTGTGTTGTTCATGGTCTCTCGTGAAATCCTACATATCCTCGTGTGTGTAGGTGAATTTCTGTTTTGTGTTTTGGACATCGAAAGTGAACGAAAAAAGGACTATTTATGGTCAGACATGACAATCGATGTGGAAAAAGAGAAACAAAGGCTAATCTGTTCAGGACAGCAAAACGCCGACATACACAATAAACCTTATCCTTTTTTTAACTCAATATACTATAGGTGTAGTGTGCGATGAACCAGACCTGTCCCAGTGGGGAGTTTATCAGGGCGTGTGTTGTTATGGACCTGTTCAGTCCTCTTCAGAAGGAGAATTATTACCAGTGTACCCATGTTCCACCTGTCATATGTAACTACATGTGTAAGCTGTGTCTGTCTCACACCTCTATTTAAATGTTCATGTTGCTGAGCAGTGTAGCTGCACACACCGGCGTTACACATGTGCACTATACGTTGCTCATACATATACATGCACTGACGCTACACAAACACACGTCAACACAAGAATGCTGACACACAATTACCCATCTGTGGAATTGTCTTCTCCATGTACATCATCAGCTTTTAGTCCCTCGTGTACAGTGAATTATCATGTGTGTGACTATGCCTTCAGGCAATCAAACGTTGTATAAAAAGGGACATTTTTCCTCAACTGTGAAAAGATAATATCTATATGATTGATATAGATGACTGTATGTATGAATCATGAATCCATGTATAGTGCCCAAATATCAACAGATATTTATACATTTTATAAGAGAAAAAAAATGAAGAAGTAGGAAATGCGGCATTTTACCAGAATGGCCTGTAGTTAACATCAGCTGCGGGATAATAATAGTAAAGAACTGGAAAGGACACTGCCATTGTTCTAAAGACAAAAATCCAAAACTATGAATAAACAAGAAAATGTCCCTTCACATTATCACTATACATAATATCATTATGTGTGTATATGTATCCAATTTAGATGTGTTTACATCAAAAACTGACATATTTTTTATTGATTTTTCTGCAATTTCTGTGCATTTGAGCCAAATTGTTATGTGTACAAAAGCTATATTGTGTATTTTATTAAATTAATATATTGTTGTGTTGCAATATACATGGGCTTATATTGTATTCGGCAAAAGTTGCCTTAGTAGCTGTCGAACTCTGTGAGTTTGCTTTAGTTTGGGTTTATCTTGGGTGTTTTTTTTTTGTTTGTTTTTTGTTTTTTTCCTCTCATCTCTGTTCTGCATCTTTGCAGGCTGGCTTCAGTGCTTTTCAAGATGTCGCCTCTTTTTACCCTGAGATCCAGCTGGATCAAATACGATAACTGTTTAAAGCTTAAATAAGCCAGCTGATCTAATATAACAGAAATCAAAACCAACAACAAAAAGCAACAACCACAAGGAAAAACAGTTTGACTATTTTTACTGAGCAAATTTTTATAAGGCAGCTATTTTCTTTAACTATAACTAGTCTGCATATTTTCTGTTCACTATGTTTCTACTTTCTTTCCAAAAAAAAAAGAAGAAAAAATATATAACATAAAAGAATAGAAACCTGCCATATGGAAAGTGGAGTGGTTTCCTTGGTGATCATGAAACTGCCTTACGTCTCTGCAGAGAGCTTGTTGTATCTGTGGAGCTTTGTGACTGCTTCTAAAGCCCTGGTCCACCAGAATGTGCATTTTCTACAAAGGACCGAGAGAGGCTCTTTTGCAGCAGTCCGTGTTGTTTTTGTCTGTGCTCCTCAGTTTTCAATTTCCATCCGTTGCAGCAAAACTTGACATCTGGAATTCTGTTTGAAGTTGCTTTAGGTGTAATGTCTTAGCTGGTCAGGCACATGGTTTCAAAAACCAGGTGTCTTTGCATTCAGACTTTATTAAGAAAACATTTATTTTTGAAAATTCTTGCACATTTTAGCCTCTCTTTGAAATGATAGCAAGGGTGCTTTTTCTAACAATTCCTCGTGGTGGAAAAAAAAAAGATAATAATACAAAAAAACGCACAACAGTTGGCTGTTTGATGTGTTTTGGAAAAAGTGACCACAATCACCAAATGTACAACCCCATTTCGAAAAAAGCTGGGACGTGTGAAATGTAAAAAAAAAAAAAAAAACATGCTATGACTTGCAAATCTCATCATCCCATTAGTGGAACAGAATATACACACCCGATGTTTAAACAAATATATTCTGGGGGGATAAAGTGTAATTTTTTTTATTTTATGGCAGCATTGCATCTCAGAAACGTCACAAATCTCAAAAAAAAAAAAAGTTCAGACTAGCACAAGAAAACACTATAAAAGCAGGTAACAGATAATGAGCTAGAGGAGCATTTTGCAACAAACTAGGTTAAATGTTTTTTAACAGGACTGGATAAAAATAATCATTTTAGAGAAACTCACAGATGTGAAGACTGGCAGAGTTTCACCAGTTTGGGAAAATTGCATCTAAAACCAGTGGAACAATTTTGCAATAATGTACCACCACAATGTGTAGTGCTATCCACAAATGCTGCTTAAAGCTCCATCATGCAAAGAAGAAGCCACATGTGAACACCATCCAGAAACTCCTTGTTCTTTCAGAGCCAAAGCTCCTTTAAAATGGATGAGACAAAGTGCTAAACTTCTCTCTAGTCAGACAAATTAAGATCTGTTTTTTTTAAAACCACAAATGTCACATCCCCAATAATAAAAAGCAAGGGCAGTGCATGGTTTAAAAGCCTGCTTCTCTGTTGGTATGTGGGTGCATTAATGCCTTTGTAATCAGAAACTTACACATCTGGAAAGGCACCAAGTAAATACAGGTTTTAGAACATCATATGCTAGCAAAGAAGATCCAGAACTGTTGAACAGCTGGAATACATCCAACAAGAATGGAAGCATGACCCTCCTAAAGCTCCACCAGTCTCCTGTTTCTTGACATTTTCCGACTGTTTAAAGCATATGTGTCAAACTCAAGGCCCGGGGGCCAACTGTGGCCCTCGCTGACATCTTATCAGGCCCCCAAGATGTTATTTTAAATGTAAAATGCTTGTATCACTTTAATTTATTTCAGTAATCTTTGATTATGATGTCAAAGGTGCAACAGAGAACGTCAAACGAGACCAATCAAACTCTTCTTGAGGAGCCTACAACCAAGAAAAGATGTTTGGTATTTAACTTAAGTTAATGTAGATTCTAAAATTGGCCCTTAGTTTGAAAAAAAAGTTTTTAATTTTGGCTCCCTTTTGTAAGTGGGTTTGACACCCCTAGTTTAAAGGGTTAAACTAAGGAAATTATGACCCTAGTCATCTTTGAAATGTGTTGCCGTAAAATTGAAAAATAACTTTAGTCCACTAAAAAATTACAGTATTTTATTCTCAGCGTTTAGTTTGTTTACTCTATTGTGAATAAAATATGTGTTTGAGATTTGCAAATCATTTCATTCTGTTTTTTTTTTTTTTTTTTTTTTTTGATTGTTTTACATTTTACACAAAGTCCTGTCTTTTTGAATGTGGTGTTTATCTGAACCTGCAGCCATGAGAGGGAACAGTGACGTGCGTTCATGTGGCTCTTCAACAAGCTGAAGTAGAATTTAAACTGCAAAGATAACTCATTTTTGTAGCCATATCATCATCAAGCATGTCTGTATTTACTTCTGTTTGTCTTGTTCATGTGTACGTTTCATCACATTTTCCTTCTATACTTTTAACTTCTTTTTGCATTTTGCCGTTCGTTTGCTTACGACTCCACTTCAGCACTTTGCTTTCTCTCATCGAAGGTGCAAAGTAACCGCTGCCTTCTCTCCTCTCTTTCATCTGGAAAGTATTTGGTTTAGATTTACCCTCACACTCTTTTTTTTTTTTTTCTGGGAGAATGCAGAGGCTGTTTTTAGTCAGAGCTTAGAGGCTTTGACGGAGAAGGAAAATATTTGTGCTTCTATTTTAAATTAGATTTTTTATTTTTTTGCTTTGTTTTATCTCAAATATCTGAACGATTCAAGCAAGGTTTCACATTCGCATCACACAAACGGCACAAACGGGTGAAATATGCTGCACAAAGTGCTCTCTGCAGCTTTCATCCTGACAAAAATGCTGTTGCACTCAGAAAAAACACAAATGCATTTAAGCAACGCACTGCCTTTCATGTAAATTCAAAACCTCCAAAAATAAAATAAAGGCTGAAAGAGAGGGCAAAACATCACCAAGACGAATGGGACTCTTTCATATTTGTCTTCACAGGTTATTCATTTTTTTTTTATCTCATTTTCTCAGTCTTCATGCTGAAACAGGCACTCTCTGTTCTGTGTGTGCACAATGGCTTCATTTCTCTTCATCCTTTCATTATTTGACTAAAACATGTATTTTTTTTCTTCTCAATCTGTTACTTATGAATTTAATTACACCTCAACTGCTTTGGTCTCTTGTTTGGGTCATTACTTCCAGCAGAGTGCAGAGGTCATTCCAGGATTCATTGTTTTCCCGCAGATCTTGGCTGCCACAAACTGTCACTGTCACAATTTAAAGCACTGTCCCCTCTAATGGTGCTCCCTTGGTCCGGCCACCGTCTGCACGCTCACAAACCGAGGGTAAGGAAACGAGCTGGACCCGGGCAATGGGAGGGATTCTCTGAAGCCATGGCCCTTTTCTCTTAGGCTGTTTGCTGTTTATTAGAGCAGAGGCTACAGTTCGGCCAACACATAGTTTGGCCTCAGAAGTTGAGATTGAGCATAATGTGAGGTCTCTCATTATTGTCTAATTACACACTGGCATGATACACTGTTGGCAGTGCATTAGTCAAGCCTGGAGTGTGATATTTTTTGCCCACTTGAGACTTGTTGGCTTTACCAAGTGATTAGCAAAGGGCCTTGTTGAATGTGGCTAACCACCTCTGGTCTCTCTCACACTCTCAGTCACTGCTTCACAAATCCACACATGTATATGGACAGTATGCATTTTTTGTTGTTTGGTTTGTTTTGTTTTTTTTGTTGGTTAAAACAAGCACCCAGTGATGTCAGTGTTGTCTCCCTGCCCCCCGAATCCACCCCTGGGCCCACACTGA